TAAAATTATGTTTTGCATAGCTTCTCACATTCTTCTGCATTTCTGTATTGGGTGTATTCAATCAAATAATACATTTTTTGTACTTGTAATGACCTTCATCATTATTGATGTCCAGATGTCAGAGAATTATTATATTAAGATGACATTCATGGGCAGAACCTGCTTGAATTGAAGTTATAGGTTGGCAAAGTCGAACACCATGTTGACGCATAATATACGCCGAAAAAACCCAAATCAACCAGCAGATTGAGAGTAAACATCTTACTGAACAGAGAATGGTTCATAGTCTGGTGGACTATGATTGAAAGATTCTATGAAATATAAGACTGAGTATATGTTGAAACATAAAGAGGAGCTAAATGATTTAAATTATAGAAAGAATATATGTGTTGGAGAAATTTGAACAATCGGGAGTGCAGATTGATGACTGGCAGATGTAAACAAGAAGGCGTACGTACAGTGTCGCTCACCAAACTCTAAATTTATTCAAAGAACTGTAAACATTAGGTATGCTTTTCTTGAAGCTGTTTATTGAGAAAAGTTTTATTTATTTTTTATTTATTATTAAATGGTTATTTCTGTTTGTTTTTTTAGTATGTTGCACGGGTGGGGTACCCATAAATACTCCAAATTTGCAATACTCATAGGAGGTATGGCAGGAGGGTATGTTGTGGTCTGTGGTCACATTGAGTGAATTACTTCCACTGTCCACAGGCCGGCAAAATTGCATTAAGACTCCTAACCAGGATAAAGAAGAAAGGGTCTTTGATTAGGTGATACTTGTAGTTTGAAAATGCTCCAACTACGCCCATAGGGAATTTGAACCCGTGACCCACCAAACCGTTTTCAAATCTTAGCGACCTCAGGCATTGGGCCTTTTTAAAGTTTTTGTAAATTGATATAATTTTTTTGACTTAGTTCGCCAGTTAAATTGTAATTATAAAAGACAGACCCTATAGAATTAAGTGCTCTCTCCTCCAATGCGAACATGAATGTTGTAGGTAAGCTAAACTGGTTTTAAGAACTTGTCGCATCTCTAACCAAGACCCCAATCCACACGACCAACAGTTCAACAAAAAATCCAAAAGTGATCTTCATCGATTCTTCTATCCAAATATGATTTTATTATATACGTGGACTTTTTTTCTTAAAGAAATTCTGCTAGGATGCAGATCTTTGATATAAAAGACGGTCTGCTAGGTCTGAGTAAAAGTGAGCATATGGTAAACCTGTTTTTTTCTTATAATTATTTTTTTTCATTTTCACCATTTCGCATCGAATCAAAACCACCCCTTCCCATTCTGCACCATCTGATCCATCTTGCTCTGCCCTGTCACCTTTGCTTTGATTGTTGTTGTACCATCATCGTTATTATTGATGAAAACATTCTAGCTTCTATTTCTCTATTTTTTGTCCCTAAACATCTATTCAAATTACTATTGCAAATCACTTATTTATGTGAACTTCAGTAGTATCTTGGTTAACTTTTAATTTTATGATTCACAGCAACCTTCACTGTCTGTACTTCATATCTTGCAAAAATATATTTGCAATATAGCCAAGTTGTTTCATATTGAAATTTAAATCATTTTCATACTCTTCCACTCCTTGCCGTAAAAAACACCTTCATACTCTGAAACCTACCCTTAGCATACCTCTTAACTCCAGATTGGACAATTTTGTAATGGAAAGATTAACATAGCCGGGAAGCAGAATTTTAGTTTTCTTTCTTGTTGAACTTATAAAGACCAAGGAACTCAATTAGTTGTAATGCTCAATTTGTTATGTACTTTTATTTATTACTCTTCTTTCATAATTATATTTTATCATGAAGTAAATGAAAATAGAGGAGGGAATACGGAGTTATGAGGATTGCTAATTAGCATATACATATAATTTTTTTACAATGAACAAGTTAAAATACCTGTCACTTAGCACCAGCCCACTGTGACCTGGAGGCGGTAATGAGAGCTGGAAAGGGGTGTTGAAATAGTGCTGCTGTTCTTCTGAGCGATGCACCACTTCCCCATGTCGGACAATCACAAATCCACTGTCACCAATGTTGGCAGTGTGCACCATGTTTGTTTCTCGGTTTAGTATGATAACACAAGCAGTGCTGCTGCCTGTAACATACAAATAGAGGACAATTAAATTATACTACATTTATGATTTGTTTTTGAATTTTCAAAAAATTACAGATGAACAATAGTTAATTTCGTACTTTATTCCATGTCCAGGTGAACAGAAAACTTTGCACCCCTTTTAAGCATATTGCACGCACGGACGAGGGTGAAATTTGGCATAGTTGAAGTTCATATGGAGAAGGAATGCAGGAAACTAAAATTTATATATGTGTTACAAATATATTAAATAAAATAATATATAGTGCACATGCAAACAGCAACTTGCCACAATTCACAATTGTTCATCGTACTGAACTCTGAAACAATGTGTTTTACCTGATTTGTTTTCTTATTACCCTTAAAACCTGATTTGTTTTCTATTCCCTAAGCGGCCATCCATACATTATATGAAGACTTTAGAGGGGTGGGGTGGGGATCAAGGCCAATATCACCCTATCTTATGTGGGGGAGAGAGGGGACATGTTGGTTCCAGTAGTCATGCTTGAAACTGCACGAGTCTCCATGGACTGAATTACAATGAATTATTACACAGTGTTTGAAAGTGCAATAACCTTCGTTGCACTTCAGTAACTGTTTCCTAAATAGTAGTCATGAGTAGTCTTAAAGAAATATAATTAAGCAAATTATTTTTTTAAAAATAAATCCCAATGCAATCAATCACAAATGAATGTATTTACATAAAAAACTCATTTTGAAAAATTAGACAGGTCAAGGAGGGGGTCAAGCCAAATCTCACGGCATTTCTCAATAGGGGGAGGGGGGGGGAGTCGAGTCGAAAATTCACCAATATCGCCTCAAGTAATTTATAGAGCCCCTAATCTGAGACAATTTTAGTCGTTTTATTACTACCTTAGCGTTTAAGGGACAGGTACTTCACTTCATTTTTACATTTGTGTATGCGGATAGCATATTATTAATAATAATAATTTTCGCACGCGAACGGTACTGGTTTTCGAGCTTTAAGTTTGAAGTTATATATTTTTCGTAACATATCATTACATACGGACAAAGGGTTCTGGGGACAGTTTGTATTTGACTTCTGAAGCGCATTGCACTGTAGCGGTTGACGTGGCGAAACTAGTTTCCTATGTATTTCTCAGTCACGCGGGAGGGGCGAGAAGCCCAGTCGTCCCCCTGTTTCCACAGGTTTTCGATTTTCTTAAGTATAGACGGGAATTAAGGCAAATGACACATGCTACCGTCGTTTTTGTACATGCTCGCAGATGGAGTAAAGTTCGAAAAAATATATTTGCAATGATTACATAGGTACACTCTTTGACGAAACTTCAATAACGTTAAAAATTGAAAGTTTAATGAATTACGGTCGAATTTCGACCACTGGGTACTAGTATTATTAATAAGTGTTTCTGCACTAGTGGTGCAATGTCTCTTCAACTCACGTGCACTTTGTTTAAAATGAAAAGTTGCTTGTACACATCAAAATTTGATTTATTACCTTTTTGAACATTAATCTAATTTCAAGAACGTTTGAGGACACAGGACTGTGTAAATAGGACTCAACTGTCATTTGGGATATGCTACTTACGTTTCGCAAGATAGTCAAAATTAACTATTGGAATGCCAGATTAAACAATCCCCAGCAAGGAATCGGTAATTATTAATCATCTTACAATTTTTGTGGTTTTCTTAACAAAAAAAATATTTAAGTGCTGTGGCCATGACATTCACATTCATTGCGTTCAACACGTCGAGTTAGGAAATCAAGAACTTAAATTACGACAACGAAACCCTTGGGACCCCCACTGATATGGAAAACACTGTTTCTATTCTCGGAGCCACGCTTCCGGCACATTCTACCGCCACGGGCGTCCTGTGTTCTATTCCGTGCAGCAAGCCCTCTCACTAGTACTTTTGAATCACGCATCAGAACTACACGCGGAAATGAACGTCCAACATTCAAGGAACAAAATCACAGGCTTGCGTGATCATTTCTTCCAGACAGAGCCACTTTCAGCGTCGGTAACAAAATTCCGTAATATTTCAATGACCGTATCAGTTATTTTGTCTCGCAAAGAACTTTTGGCAAACATTTCAGAGTCAACATTCCGGTTTTCCACGCATAAAGTTCTTTAATATGTATCATGAAAAGATGTAGATACTGAAGTGACCAAGGTCACAACTTGTTTGTTAGTTTAAAACATTTGCAACAGCTACGTGTACAACACCATCCTCTGAGAGAATTAAAAATAATTATGATTTGATGTACTAAAAAATGGGTTTCATACTGGATGGCTACTCCCCACTCTTTCAGTAAGGTGAAAAATGCAAATTTCTACAGTTTTCTCTTTCATTTTCGTTTTTAAATCAATGAACTTTCACGAGAGAAATACTCTAGATAAGAATCCCTTTCCGGGCAAATAAACAATATTACACTAACACACCACTACAACAAACATAAGTATTTACAAGTTTTACAAATATAAAAACTCAAATTAAACAATTTTTGCAACACTTTAAAGTTAATATATTTCTTCAAATCTTCAAAGTCTTGGGGCTTTCTATAATTTATGAAACTCACATGATTACCACATAACTTGTCTTGTACGCATGTGCTCGCACAGTCAATATAACTGCTTTCCGAAGTTTGATGATGGTGATGGTTGCAATTTCTCAAGAGCATACAGCAGTCTTCAGTATTACGCATATGGTCATTTGTAAATGGCTTTATCACAATGCAATGTCATCGTCCTGCACGACGTTCATTTGTTCCCCTACCTGGCAAAGCGGCCCATCCTTAGAGGAACTCCTCTTACACTGTGAGATCTTCAAATGTATTTCAAGTAGTTTCTTGTTACAATAACATGACCTATTGCTATCAAGAACCCCTGACATGGTATTATTGGTATTATTATTATTATTATTATTATTATTATTATTATTATTATTATTATTATTATTACAATTGAAGTGATAGGGTGATGAGGGGAGAAAGGACTAGGAAGAGGAAAGGAAAGAACTGGGTAGTGGGAGTTTTTTTTTCTTTGGTGCGATTTTGGAACCATCACATTATTTGCCTTATGACCAAGAGAAACCACAAAAAATGCCGGTCAGGATGGCCGGCCCGAGGATCGAGTCCGGCCCTCCCAATTGCGAATCTAACCCGCTACGCACCGTCCACTTCGCTCGGTATTATTATTATTATTATTATTATTATTATTATTATTATTATTATTATTATTATTATTTTGCGTAGCAGCCATTTCTGACCACGTTACACGTTTTCTTCCGAGGCCCCGGAGAGATTAACGTGCATCATCATGTTTTTCGGCTGTATCCCTCGGTAGGACAAGGTAGTTAAACCTTGAATTATGAGGTGATAGGATGATGATGAGTGATATTGGAATTTTTTAATTATCCCAGCATTCGCCTGTATGACCGAGGGAAACCCCGAAAACCCAAGTTAAGACGGCTGGCCCGGGGATCGAACCCGGGCCTCCCGACTGCGAAGTCAACGCGCTACGCCCTGAGCCCCTTTGCTCGATATTACTACAATGACTATAACAATACTAATTATTATTATTATTATTATTATTATTAGCTGAAGTATCGGGCGTTTCACCGTTATTTATTAATCACAATGATCTGTGAATGGCATAAATTGCTCTGTAGCGTAGGTATGTACCACGCGCACCCACTCACCGAGGATGGGCTGCTTGTTCTCGAGCAGCTCGCGGTAGGAGCGGGCGAGCAGGCGCGCGGGCTCCGTGGAGGCGAAGCGGCCGCTGCTCACCAGGCGCTCGCACGTGCGCATCAGGAAGGACGAGAACTCGCCCGGGTCGATGCCGTAGTGGCGCCAACCGCCCACGCCGTCCGCCACCCCTGGAACACACGCGCAGCGTCAGGCCTCGCTCTGCCTCAGCAACGCCTCGGACACGGGACACTCCGGGAAGGAGAACGTACACTTCGGTTACAACATCAAGTCCGTTGACACATGTCAGCTGTGACGCTTTCCATTAATGGGAAGCTTCAACGTCACCATAGTGACGTTCAAGCTCCCGACTGGATTGTAACGTCACAGCTGATCAAGTGTCAACGGACATAATGTTTCAATCAAAGTATAGAGAACGCGAGGAATGGAACAGGAGCCAAACGGTGAGGAAAGCCGCCTTCTCAGCGCGGACTAGGAAGTAGGGTGGGTTTATAATGTTTTCATCAATAGAAAGCTCTAATGAAGTCTCAGTACGGTTCTTTAATGGCGTGTATAGCACCTTCAGCGGCTGAAACCAGGTTTCAAAATTGCTTCTCTAAGAACTACTATAATGAAACTGCGGTTGAGCTTTCTATCGAGGATTAAGAACTACTGGAAATCCAGACAGGCTGCTTAGTGTTAAACTTAAACATGGCCGAATGGATCAAGGGGGAAACAACAATATTAGAATCAACATAGTCATTCATTGTTCTGCTTCTTGACCTCTATTAAATGCATTACTAAAAGAAGAAAGTATTGCACAAATACATTCAATCATGAACAAAGTTTCAGCCCACTATCTTCTCCGATCAATTTACAATAACAATGATCAATGGATGACACGACGGTCCACGTGGCAACGCAATACTCTTTCAGTCGTCGGGAGGTCTCAATTACAATGCCACGCGATGCTCACCTACCTGTGAAACATCAAGTTCAAATAAAATAATACCTCACTTAATTATCGAAAGTAAGGGCAACGATACATTATTCTAGGCCGAGAGCAACATGCTACGTCACACCTCGTCTTCCTACCTTGGACACTCCAATTCACGCCTGGCAGAGTTTCGTGTAACTCCAAAAATCTCTTCGAAACAGTTTCTATGTGCTATGACTTGACAGCGGGGTTGGTGGCGTGATTAAATTTTTTAATCACCTCTCCCTTAACCAACTCATAATTTAACAGTGCCCTTGCCACAACGGAGACAGTGCTTCGATACTAACACCCTACTTGGCGCTTCGTTGTTCTACTATCTGGCCGTAATAACTAGGAGAATGTTCAGTCAACCAGATGCCGTGCGACATCGATACGCAAAAGGCCACCGCGTCCCGCGCACACGCGCGTTTGCACGCACTTGCCGGCTGAAGCGTGCCGTCGAATCGCATCGCAGAATCAACACGGAACAGCGACACTCTGATAAACGTGTTTGGCGCAGTTGAGATGCCAACAGACGCAAACTCGTTTGTTTTTCTTTCCTTCTTTTTTAACTATACATTTTTTGTATACCACTACAACTTCATTTTGCTGGTCATTTATCGTCCGTATAACTGAAATAGCCGTCTCCGGGGTAACGGAACAACTTCCACTTTCACAGATTTATCAAAACTGCACCTGACAGGGTTAATCACACATAGGGTGAGAATACGGGCAGCCACGAGCCCAGGTTTTGAGGAAACGCGGAAACTGACGGGTTTCCCTTGTGACATTTTGATGCAGGAATTGTGAGCTTTTAGAGGCACCAAGACCTTTAGAGTTCTATCTCGATCAGGTTTTGTGCTCAGCTTCCCTGATCTATTGACAAATGCTGACATGGCCCCGTTTTTCTTCTGGACATAAATATAGTTTCATTATGCGCATTATTTTGTTGAGCTCTCCAAAACTGTAGTTCGTTTCCGATACAAATACGTGTCTTATAATTCGTGATCGAAAATATACAATTTTTAAAAATCACTAACCTCGCTTTGTTAGTATTTTTATATACAATTCAACTATGTATGCTACGAAAAAAGATTCTGGAGCTCAAGAAAACGTGAACAGATTACAACTCTCTTCCTCATATGTCATTTATAGTTTTATTGTACGTTGATGAAAATAAATTAAATCAAATAATAGTACAAGACTCGTTAACTCAGATGGTTAACACTGACTTGTATGGGCTCCTTTACGCCACCTCTGCCGTTTTTCATTGATCGATGCGATGTGTGATTTTCAGCGTGCTCCGGGTGAACCGTTTCTCATTCCAAAATATCCCACATGTCAGTTTCTTCTATTTGAAGACATCATTGTAGTAACATTTTTGGGTGTTATAAAAAAATAAACAATTATCTTGCCTGATAACTGTCTAAGACAGGCGTAGTTAACTGAGCTCTGCGACGTTACAGTCACCTGAGGGTTGGGGGTCTCCGGGCGGCGACGGCGCGGCTGCGGCACGAGACACGCGAGCGACGGGCACAAACGAGCAGCGGCCAATCCGCCCCCGATCGATGCCCGAGCGAGGCGGGGGCGGAAATAAATTTCCACGGCAGATTCGCTGCGTGACATTTCATCGTTGTTTTAGAATCCAATAACAACCCTTACCCCTTCCTCGCCCACTGATCCCCAGGCCCCTCGGCGACACAGGGGCGGCAGCACGCGTGCAAAACCCAGCAAAACCCTGCAGTTGGCCAACACGACCAACTTGCAATTTCAATTTCTCCTATCGCCTCACCTTAACGTTTACAGCAACCTTCATGTGTTATCAAACTAGTTGTATGTAGTAGGAAACACTGAATGCAAAATTAAGGAAAAAGTTGGAAGATAAAACAACAACACGCAAACCACAGAATTCCAGAGATTGAAAATATTTGCCAAGGAGGTTCCCAGAAGAACCGAACCCAGAAGAACCCAGAAGAAGCTCCCCAAAAATCACTTCGCGTCAGACACAATGCAAATTTCAGGCGACAGACACAATGCAAATTTCAGGCGACAGACCGCACAGTTTTCGAGTGATGTAAGTTCGATGTGCCACGAAACAGGGCGTAAAGAAGGTCTTGTTTGAAGATGACCTTTGGGCAGCCAAATTCAGATGAGTTTAAACAAATATTTTTGCAGAAACTATCAATTTATCACATCTCCAAAAAATTCTCTTTCCTTTGCCATCAAATTTGTCAATATTAGTTCGGTGTGAGAGCCATAGGACTTTAGAAATAATATAAATGAATAGGTGGATACGAAACATATCGGTGGCTGACGGCATTTTAACTGTAATATACAATAAAACTATATTTAAAATCAACAATTAAGCTTTGTAATGAAAACAAAAAATTGCAAAATTAAATGATTTCGAGTTGTTACCAGAAATGCGTCTGTTCAGGCCCACTGTCGGTCTACGCACGCCTGCGTGTCTCGGGCCTGGCGGCGTGGCGGTGACGCATCCAGGGATGATGCCCCACTTCAATCGATACATTTGCTGTCCCCCCACACAAAACAAGGTATCCAGACACTTAAATTTATTTTAAAGATATTTTGATATCATAAATATAATTTACTACTCGTACATTATCCTGTTATGTTTTATTTACTTCCTTTAATTAGTGAACAATAAATACTCTCTACACATATGAATAGGGCCCCCTCTATCACTTCGGAGTTCAAATTGCAGCAAATTGCGCAGAGGCTTATAAGTACATAAGCACAAGGTACAAAGAGTGCCTTAAATTAACAGAAAAAAGGTAATTTTTTTTCTCGAAAAAAGAGCGAAGTTCAAGTGTAAATATTCATACAAACAGTATTAAAACGTATTACATCTCACATAAAGAGTCATTTTTGAGTTTTTTTATGTCCTTGAGACCATGAAAGTGCTCCCAAAAATTACTCTTTCAAATTCAAGGGCCGCAACATCAATCAGATTGATCGTGTAATATGAATTTAGTGAAAATCCCGCCAAGGCGTTTGATTGCTAGCGTTGTTCACAGATGGGCGGTCGGGCAGACGGACGAACAGGCGTATTCCTGTAAATTAACTTTTCGGTATCAAGGTCCCACAAAAAGGGAATTCTCAATAAATAACGTGTTAAAGGAACTTCTTTACTACATAATTACATGAACAAGAATTATACACTTTTCTGTCAGCTTCTTATACCAACACAAGTCGATTATTTTCTGTTAAAATATTGTCGTTTTTGCTGCAGCATAACCTTACTTTCTCTATACATGAGTACATAGTTTTCGAGAATGTAAAAATATTTAAGTTGGAGATTAATGTAATCTAATATACATTGGAATATTTCTATATATCGCTTTGTTTACATTGAAAGTGTTAAAGCCTTGTTATTTCAGCGTCCTGACTGCAAGAAACGAAAGGAGGTGGACTCAGAAGAGATACTATATCATCCTCGGTGATTTGAAACTAAATTTTCTGTAAGTAAATACGGAGTGCGTATTCAAGTGAAATCGTCACGGACACCGCAACTGAAGTTCGGAGCGCCTACAAGTAAAACTCAACGTTTTTTATACGAAAAATTTTGAGTGTTCTCCGCGGCCACTCAACCACGAAACATGACACGTTTTCGTGTTTCAGATCACTCAAGGCAGCACTCATCCCGCTTTCTTCGCGAACGCCTATGACACGCGGTCCTCTAAAAGCGACCACTCATTTTAAGCAGGCACCTACAGATGAATCATTGGCTTATCCCGTAAGTATTGACTAGATATTCGGTCGTGACACATCCACAAATGCACATTTCGAGTTACGAAACCGATAAATTGATATGATACCCCAAGCTACGGGATAACTATTCCTGAAGATATGCCCACTTGGAAACATGCCTGCCGCAGCGCTTGTGTGCACCAGGTTTGAGTTTGTCTCTGGTGCCCGAGGCCGCCCGCGCGCCGAAGTGCCAGGCGGCGTGCCGCCAGCGGCGACGCATCTCCCGCGAGAGGGCGCTCTCTGCGGTTACGAGGCACATGGCCGTCCCGCCTCGCGAGGACTCGCGCGTAACGCTGCCTCGTTCGGCCTCCATAAAACAGATGACTTCACTTTTACTGCGCCATAATGCGTTTCGATTCTGACGCTCTTTGCGGCTGTGAGTGGGGGGAAACAGCCAAACATAAAGGGACAAAACTCTTCTGAGCCACGCAATGGCCACGGGAA